GTCGTAGCTTAGACAACACACTCGTTGCAAAAGGCACACATTGATATACTAGCGGGTGAACGTTCTTAAGCAAATACCGTTACGTAAATATCTAGCCATGAGGGCAGGGTCGCCTGCTAGTGCCTAGTATTTAATCGGTGGGCATACCATGTCACAGAAGCGTACGAATTTCTATTCTACACATGGCACATAGTTATTATGCCCCATAGAACGTTGGCCCCCAAGCGGCGGCCGCAACGGGAGCGGCCAGCACAGGAGCTGTTTAGAGTTGGATTTATGTTGATCCACCTTAACGCTGAAATTAGTATTAATTAGTAGTAATCTTAACGCACAATTGTAGTACAGATAGCGTTCGTGCGATTTAAGCAGTTTCTATTCTCCTGGATCCAAAGAAGAGCGCAGGCATAAGCATAGACAATCGTGTGACAAAATACATAATTTATGAAAACATTGAGCAGCACGGTTCTAAGATTGAAAAAACAAAGTACTAAGAAATTAACGTGAGGCGCGGGCCAGGACAGCCTGTGGTGAAGAGGTGGAACCGCGGAAAAGCCAGCAGCAAGTAACAACGGCTCTTTCCGTTCCGAGATTTTAGATAAAGGCAAGCTTACCTTGTGTTTATATAGGATATTCAAAGATTTACGAAGTACACGTTGGTACAGCAAGCAAACACAAAGCAATACATGGCGGTTGAAAACTTGTTAACCGTCTAGTAAGTATGAAAAATATAAGTGAATAGAATTCAGGTCCATTCCGTTTCTAACAGCCGACTAGATTACCGTGTTCCTTCTTTCAACGCATACACCTGTCGATATCACCCTAGCTCCTTTAACGATGACCACGGTTCCAATAGTCGCTTGTTTTGTTCCGGCAGATAGGCAGCATCGCTATGTTGCTATGCTACCCTACCCGTACAGTCGCGAGGCGGTGAAGGAGGCGGTGGTAGAGCATACATACCACAGAGTAATATTAACGCTGGACAAGGCAAAACATTGAAGGGTAACTGCTACTATGCTATTTTTGATCAGGTTTTCAAAGGGGCTCGGTAGCAGCAGCCTCAGTAAAAATACAAATGCTAAACGATTAACTATCTGTAACTGAATACAAGTATATCTGTATACTCTGTAAGGGACTTGAAAACCGTGTTGTAATAGCTATGCGCAGCAAAATAGATCGACCAATAGGATTACCTTAAAAAAGCCATCAAATTTTATTAATTCGCCACAAGGCTGCTTTGACCACCTTGTGCCTATTAGAAGGCGCCTTGCACCAAATATCTGGAACATGATTTTAAGGAAAATATAATTTCAATTCAAACCGTCAATTATAAACGGTAGAGAGTTTTGACGGAGACATAGACGCTACAATGCCTATTGCCTACGGTGTATCACAATACCAAACCGTAAACTAATGAGTACATGCAGTAAGAAAAACAAACAAGAAAACAATACTCTATATTTGATGTAATTCCATGAAACGTTCCGTAACTCAAACCTATTTAATCTTATTTAATGAATGGTATGAAGAATAAAGCCGAAATCTGCTTATTTACATATTACATTGTTCTGATGAACGTTTCGGTCCGTTAAGATCTCTAAACGGCTTGTAGTCTTATTATAAACCAACAATAGACAGATATCGTTGGCTGAGCATCAACGGTTGCTATCGAAATGCTACAAGGTTCTCAAGGGTTTCTAAAATAACTAAAACTTGTTTGCAAACAATTCAGTTCATGTTTGCGCCGCGAAGCGGTTAAAGATGTTTTACCCTAACTATTAGGATTTGTTGAATTAGATTCAGGCCATAGTCAGCCTTTTAATGGTACGACATTGTCGTTACGTATGAATGCGATCTGGCACAATTATTTATAGACATATTTAAAATCTATAACAAATCGTATACCTTTAACGATCCTTTGCTTGCGATCCTGATACGACATGTGTAGAATCAAAGGGTCATTTCCAAAAAAAAAAAAATTCGTATTTTTTTGATGGCTGTTACAATGCTTTTGTAATATCGTTTGAGGTACATCAGTCATAGCACTCAATGTTATCTGTGTTACACTCTCATAAAATGTTTTAGGTGACACGAAATGTAATTAAATGCGGATATCTGTTTCTCGCGCCAGATTGGGATTTTTCATCGCAAAGCAGCAGGACAAAGGTGACCACGGACTCTGGACAACTGTCGCCTATTTTGTAGCAGTGATTTCGTAAATTTGCAGTACATATTATCTGAATAGCTGCGCACGAATATAGTTATTCAAAAAATTATTAAACATTCTTAAGGTCAGTAATTTAATTGTTACATTGCTATATATCTGAAACGGCGAAGCTTAATTATTGACTCGAGCTCTCTGAATTTACACTTTTCGAACCAGCCCTTCGGGAAACCAGCCTCCTGAAGCAATACTTAGAGGAGGTAACGGACGTAAGACTTGAAACATTTACGTGGCTTAGTTACGGTATTACACATGAATTTTAGTGTGCCAAATAAGCAGGTCAACAGGCTTATTTGCTGCCCCGTAAGCCTTGCTGCCCCCATTTTTTACAAATATGGATGGCGCCAAAAGAAACTAAATATCGATGTTTTGGTCTTGTTCGTTTTAAATTTTAAAAACAGCGTTGGCAGAGAAGATGGTTTGTACTGTATGACGACGGGGAACTTACCTATGCTCTTGACGAACAGGTAATTAATAGAATTGAGGTGAAACAAATGTTTTTATGTATTGTAATTACTTCCCTAAGATTTTTGTCTTGATCGCAGGTCAAAAATGGCGTGTCACAAATAAAAATCATACGGTTCAGCTAAGTTGTTTTTAATTTATTATTCCGTGGCTGATGTACAAAGTAGATAGTTAATTATTAACTGTTGCAATAATATTGATGTTTATTCAAGATCGAATGCTGTGTATGAGACGTGTGTGTATGTGTGTGTGTGTGTGTGTGTGTGTGTCGTTTATTTAGCATGACCAAAAAATAAGGTCGCTAGGGCAACAATATCTAAATTTTATACCTAGATAAATGATGTGTTTCGGAACTGTATTACATGCAGCCGGACACTCTTCCATGCGCTTCAATCGACATGCGAAATGCGCTTGAAGTTGCGCTGGCAGACGAGTTGACTGGAAATCCTTTCAGTATTGCACTTACCTATTCAGACAAGATCCACTTCGTCAAAGCCACTTGTCGAGAGGAGTCTAAAAGGTAAGTGTATAATTTTTATTATAGATGCCATATAAATCCTATTGAAATTAACACCCTTACAGTTCTTAACCGACCTGATTAACGGGCATTACGACCTGTATAGGGAAAGTCAGCCACATCTGAGGATGTGCTCAAGACTGTGCGTCTGGTATGAGAGCAAGGAAAACATGCTCTACCCGAAATAATTGCTTCCGAAGAAAAACTAATAACCCAGTTTCGTTTGGCAATTGCCAGCGCTCAATGCGTGTTGAAGAAAGATTCCTATTACGATAGGATTTTCAGGTGAAATTTTATTTCGAGGTCTTCATTAGCAATCAGATACTCCTGTTTTTATACAGTATACGTAGACAGTCGAGGGGCTGCGTTTCTTTCTGTGTATGGATAGCAGTTCAGTACGTATTTGACCGTAGTGACTATTGACACTGTGTTACAGATGGTATGACGTGTTATGTAGAGCATCACCCAATATCCGGTCATCAGCAAAACGCAATCAAACACTTCCAGGCTCTTTACCTAGTTCCACTTCAAGTGGGCTCCGACAGGGCATATCAGGACTCTCAGGTCTGTCCAATGATGGGTCCAGTGCACTCGAAGTCGAGCACGAAAGGGAATGCAACAGGTAGTTGACTCTTACGGTACACGTTTTGCAGTAGCGCTATGCGGCAGCGGAAGAGTAAGCGTAATTTTGAATGAACAAATCAAGTTTCAATTTCAAAAAGAAGTGTACATAGCTCTCGAAGGGCCCATGGAGTCTAACGATGGTCTTCTGCATTCTGTCTGTATGCCTTCATTCACTTGTAATTATCTGCAATGCGATTCTAGGGAAACACCTGCTCGGCAAAGATTTTTCTCAGTTGGAGCACCAGCGTCGACGTCATCACCGTCTGACGACAACAGAGACGTCGACGAGCACGAGGTACACAGAATGATTCATTTTGAAATCAATAATAGTAGTATAATACTCCTATCGCAACATTTCAGTGTGGTATGGTTATTTACTTAATGATAACCCGCTAACAATTTGTGACTAGCTGTTCTTAGAGGACTATTTCTTGTCTCGATTTTTCTGTCTTTTATGCGGCGATCCTGTACAGAGCTTTTTACCGAACTATGTTATAAGTTGCATTAATAATCCTTGATTCCGATCACGAATATCTTCTATCTAACAGAGCAATCGCTAGTTCATAGTATTCACGTTTTGTTTGGAGAGTAAAACGGATCTGCAGATCCGTTGTGCTTAACAATGCATAGCCCAGGATAAACTAAAACGGAAAAAACGTTGTCGAATGTTTTCGAGAGTCGATAAGATTATTTTTGGTATATTGGTGCACTCATTCTGAAGCTGGGAAGCAATGGCTTATTCGAAACTTCAGATTCAGCGTCGCGAGCGATTATGTTCCTTCTGGACATAATAATATCAATATGATCTGTCTAACACCATCAACTGAATGTGCCGTTTCTATGACAGGTGTCATCGAAGGGTAATGGCGGCTCCGCGTCTTCTGGAGACTTTCTCTCGTCAAGTCCTTCAATTATGGTCTACCAGGTCGTTAACTCTTTGCTCTCGAGTACTGGAAAACAAAGTAGTACTGGAGCCAATAATGCCGGCAGTAACAACAGCAATAACAACAACAACAACAACAACAACAACAATAACAGTATTAATAAAAATGTGAACAATAATCAGAACAATTTGAACAGTTCGAACAACAGCAACAGCAACAACAGCAGCAGCGGCAGCAGCGGCGGCAGCAGCAGCAGCAGCAGCAGCAGCAGCAGCAGCAGCAGCAACAATAACAGTAACAACAACAGTAACAACAACAACAACAGCAGCAACAATAATAAAAACAGCTCGAGCTCAAACACAGGCAGTAATACAAGCCATGTGAACGTTGTCAATGTCAATGTAACAACTACAACCGGAAACTCTAAAGCCGTTGGGAAAACCCCTGGAGTTGTCCTGACCTCCGGACAGTTGCAACAAAAGCAACAAGCCACTGTCCAAGTTCTCAGCAGTAGCAACAGTAACAACAGCAACAAAACAACAGGTGAGCCCCGCTAATTGACGTCAGAAGGCTTTAATGTCAACCAAAGTTTGCCTCGACTTACATTTACGTCACATCGAAGTCATTGACGTTTGATATTTATCGTACTCTTTAGGGCTGACGGAACAAGTCGCGCGGAAACAAGCGGCAGAATTTGAACTAATGACGTCCCTACTTTAGCAATTCTAATAGAGTAACCTGCAGAAATTTTTTGCCTAGGACTCATTACGACAAATTCGGATATGTTTGATGGTCCACCAAGTCTCACGTCAACTCCCGGACTGAACTCGTTGGACGACTGCGAAGTGTTAAAGAAAAGGCGATTCCTCAAACGCGAGACTAAAGTGAGCATGCAGATGATCAAAAAGTGGCAGACGATCCAATGAACTCTCATCCTAGCAATGCACGTCATTGATATTTGCACGTGATTAGATGTAGCATCAAATCTAAAAACGATTTTATTGAGCTTAGTATTTTGCCAGAATTGTACCACGATCAGTATACCTCCGCCCAAAAGTCTGGCAGATATGTTTTGTAGTATATAAGTGTAGTATTGTATATAAGTGGCGAAATATGATTTGTAGTAGACCTAACACGTATTGAAAGGACAACGAACGACCCTTTAGATGTCTGTCGTATTGGTCGAATCGTATTTTTCAGGCGCTGAAGTCACAACGCAGCCGTTCGGACGGCGTTGCAAAAATGCTACCACCGACTCATATTGAAGACAACTCTCCTTCCCATCAGAGTCAATGGAATATTATCGGAACACCAAACGTACGTTCCACTAGCTCACCGGGTGGTCCAATTGTGAGTCAAAGGAGTTCGATGGGTGGACAGTTCGGTGAATGGAGGCAACGTTCACCGATAGTGTCCCAGCTTGGTCAGTCTCATACGCCGACCAGCCAGGGGTTGACACCCAGCGCAAATAACGGGAGTCCTGGAAAACGTTCGTGTCACAGCAATTCTGTTTACCTCCTAATGTCCGACCTTGGCTCTCATGAAAGCCAGTCAGCTAACACAAGTCCAGTTGTCACTCCTAATAAGCTTCAGACGTCAAACACTGTGCTAGATCGTAAAGTGAAAACGTTAGGTTCTCCACCTCAGCAGCGTGGCGTGCCGGACGGCTGTCCGCTGGATTTGGACGAGGACCACGTCGATGGTGGTCCGGGATCCCTACATATTGGCAGCCTCAGTCCAGCGTCCGCACTAGGGCCGTTAGGAGCGTCGTCGAACCAGGCCGATCAACATCACGCAGGCGGAGGAGCCCTATTGACGAAAAAGGGTTGGCTCTACCTAAGGCAACGCTATAACGGCCAAGTGGATTGGACACGGTTGTGGTTTGTGCTTCGACAGGGTTCGTTTTCACAGTTTACAGATCCATCAGCGGAAGAGAAAGGCCAAGCACGAGGAACACTAGACACGCGTGCGCTACGCGCAGCAACCGAACTTGATAATGCCGATAGAAACTATGCGTTCGCCCTAGTCTGGTAAGTAACGAGAGCGTTCGCACAGGAAAAAGGTTATACCGTCAAACAAAAGTGCTATGTATTTACAATAACATCTTATAAGGGGGAGAACAGGTTGTATTCCGCTTCTGCTCACCTTTAGGATTTGAAACGACCTACATGTTTACAAAATCAAAGCCATTTGAATATTATTTTCTCACGTTACAGGACACCTTCTGGTGGCGAGGGATCAAGTAGGGAGCTCGTGTTGAGCGCTGCAACAGCCGCTATTCGTACTAATTGGCTTCAGGCGATCCGACAGGCAGCCGCTGCCTCGAATGCCCTAGCTGTAGCGCCTGTGAGTTCGGTTGGAACTCACGGTCTCACTTTGGCTACGGTTTCATCCATCGGATCCTCGACCGCTAGCATCGCCTCGGGCCTTACCTCTTCCTCTTCGCCGTCCTCGGCAGGCGGATCTCCTGGCTCCGCTATGTTATCTGGTCATAGCGACAACTCAAGACAGTTCAGGAGACAGCTCAGTCCGGCCAGGACAACAACGACGACGACATCTGGACCTATTACCTCGCCAGTAACAACGACTGAGTCCATTACTCATTGCACGAAAGAGATGACTCTGCCCCTCGGTCAAGAAAAGGTTATTTATGTTTTTATTAGTACAATTAGCTGGACTTATAGAATATTAAAGAAATTCAGCTATCTGAGATACATAAAAAAAAGAACAATCAATTTTTACTTACATAAATGCCATAAGAAGCTTACGTCGGCGAAGCTCATCATCGTGCTTGTGATCATCAATGTACTGTTCTTCAGACTACCCCTTCGAAGAGACTAAGCAACCGGGCTTTGAGTAACACTGGCCAGGTCGGTAGTCCATGCGATTCAGGCGGAGAGGGTAGCTATTTCTCAGCCACAGATTCAACACCGACTCAGGAGACACCTCACGCACTGACAGCGCGACAGTGAGTAATCATTTCGCATAATTTAGAGCTGCGTAGATTTTATATTGTGCTCCGAACAAAGATATATATATCTTTGTTCTATATATATATATATATATATATATATATATATATATATATATATATATATATATATGTATATAGCACTAATAAGGCCATTAACTATCGCCTGCTGTCAAATGAATAGGGAATGATTTTGAAACGGGATTCTCAAGAAGCGTTTCTATCTTATGTATTCGATGACGAATTGTTTGACGGAATCGATGCTTGGAGGGGCTCTGCAACGATCGTAGCATCGAAACAAAATGGCTTACAACTCTTGTAAAACGTTTGTTGTGATTGCAACTAATTATAGTGGAGGTCGTGTTGAGTTGCCACCGTCACCTGTACCCAACCGTAATGCGCTTTCAAAAGCTAAACATCGGGCGCGAAGTTCAAGCGCGCACTCTAGAGTGCGATCTGGCTTAGGAAGCTCACAAATGTCTGGCGAAGCTACAGCATCTCATAGTATTCTAGACGTGACAGCCGCCAGCAACACCAACGTCCAGCAGCTGGAACAAAAGGTGAGGATCGATGTGTGCAGCGGTCAGACTCGTTACGTTATATATAAGTATTCGTACGTATATAGTATGTATAAAAGAACGAAGCTATAGACGTTTTTTGGGCACGTCACTTTCGGAAAACTCCTCATCAAATTCTGACGCTTTAATAGCATCGTTTTTAAGCATTTACAAGAACTTTAAAGACGCTTTTAGGTGTAGTTGCACGAATTAAAATTAGAACTTATTGCTACGACACAGTTATCCGCTGTACACCGAGTGTAGCATACGACATACTTCGAAAGTGTAAAAAATTGAAAATGTTCATGGAAATAGCTTCGTCGAATAAGTCTAGCGAAGGCTGGTAGCTATTTTCGCATTAGGTGTGTTTGCCTAGAACAGTTCGCCAAAGTCTTTGGTGCTCCATGTATTCGTAGCCTACGTTGCGCTCCACCAAATCACTCTCACCATATCAGCTTTCGGATGAGTCTACCATACCAAAAACAGTAGGTTTGTTGCAAACCTTACCTTCAAATTTCGCGTCTTTTCTACTATGCCCTTACACGCACACCCGTAACGCTTTTTTTCTACAGAACACGTAGTGACAAACAAACTCCTACAAAGGAAGCAGATTTGTAATTAGGGACAGTCTACAATAGAAGCGGGTATAGTCAGTCACTTGCTAATCTGCTACGATTTGACACCGTGCAGCGATTGAACCGCTGTATGGTGAAACGATTTTTGTTTACATCTTGAGAAGCTCATTGAACTCAGCGACAATTCCATGTATTACATTATGTATGCCACGACGACACAGATGTCGTCTTTAGCTAGCGGCGTTGTTGGTGCTAGTATGGCACTTGAGAGCGAAGACGAGGAGTCCAGTTGCGGCCCTGAAGAGGACGAAGCTGATGAAGCCGATGAGGACGAGAACGAGGAGTGTTTGTTATTAGACCTCGTAGACATAGACACAATCGACGGCAACAACATTAATAGTAGTGGTAGCGGCGGCGGCGGCGGCGGTCAGGAGCAACGACTTGCTTATGGACATAACCATCTTTCATCTCGCCATGGTCATTCGTTGACATCTGCTCACCAGCAAGGACACCATTTGCAGAGGCAATCGCACCGTGGCACCACAATGCACAAGATAGCGCGCGCTCAAGCCCTTGAAAATAAGGTACTTACATCTAGGCAGAGCGCGAACGAAAGCGACAAGGGGACAGATCAAACTGTCAAAGCAACAACAACTCCAACTTCGGTTGAATGTTTCGTTCTGTCGAATCATCACATCTGATTTCTTTTTTTCTAATTCCTTCAACCTATCCTATCATCCTGTTCTGTTATGCTTGTAACAAGGTTGGGTATCTTAATTTGCATACGAATAGTTTGTGAGCTTTTTGCTGGTTTTGTATGGTAGGTCCCTAGATAGCATATGTTTAATACTTTGGAACAAACGAGTCGCATAAAAGCTAGCGTTTGAGAATAGATATGGAATGAGTTTGCTTGTCTTCATACGAGTACATCTTCATGATAATTCCGCTTTGCGCCTATTAAATACCAACTTATGCCAGTTACCTCCGCCGGTCTCTATTTATCGGTAGATATTTATAGATCATAGATATTTGAAAATGAATTCGTTTGCTACATAGTGCATGTTGTAAGACTAGTGCTGCATGTAACAATGTTTGATACGTTTCTGCAAATGTGAATTTGCATGTCAAGCTACGGTCTTTTGCCGAGTCACTTACGATCGATGAAGTCGTACGAGCAGAATCTGTCAATTTTTTACTCTGCTTCTAGCCAGCTTACGGGGAGCGTCCCTATTCTAATGGAAGTACGAAATTTCCTTACTATTTGTTTATAAGTTTCCTCAGTTGGAAAATGCGTTTTGCAAATTCGTCTTACCATATTCACTCAGAAGCTAGCCGTTATTACCCACAGTTAAATGCTCACGTTGTTGTATAAATCGGCAATTTTAGCTGCGGGTGGCACGCAGCGACCTCGAGGCCAAGCAGGCTGAGATCGATGCGTTGCGAAGACTGGTAGCAACATCGTCTGGAGTGCCAAACCAGCAATACGTAACCTCGCGTTCCATAATAGAATCAACGATATCTCGTAGTCACGAACCAAGAAGTCTCTCCCCCTCGCGTTCATGTACTGAGGAGGTGGACGATGCCTCAAGACGGGCACAGGAACTTGTGTCGAAAAGCCTGCAACTGCTCAAAAACATCTCAGCCAAGACAGCTCTAAAGGAGGTTGGTAAACTTCTCCTCTAAACATGAAACCGTATGTTCGTTTTTCGAAATTCATCGAGGTGCCTACGCGATTTAACCGAATATTAACTTTACTATTTTTCAACAAAAAACAGGTAAAGGAAAAGTGCTTAGATCTGCAGTCCCACATTGTTTCTTTGGAAACTTTGGTTGGGGATGTTGTAGAGTTCGCTAACACAACCAACGCGAATTTAAAAGCTGCGGAGTGCGGGCTTCCTCGTGCCGTGCCTCCAAAAAGTAATGCCGCCGTACAGACAGCGTCTGCTACACAGGCCGAACGGGATGAAAAACTGACGAAGGCGCAGCGCGAAATAGCTAGATTGACGAAAGAGCTGATCGACTCACAAAAGGTTTACAATGCATTGACAGACCTCTTATCTTACAATCGCTGCTTTGTGTCTATAGTCAAAACTAGTTGCCGGTGTTTTTTTAGAACGTGCTGGATTGGACCTTCAAATCAGATGTTAATTTTACAGTCATAACGCTTCTTCTAGTTAAGAGAAATCAATTTCGCCACTGGTTCTATATTGCATTGTAGGTTAAAGATAAGTCCTGCTAAACTTAGCTAGCTATAATTATATTTTTCAATTGACAATCATATTATTTACTATTTTAATTTAGACCGCTGATGACGCAGAGCTACAGCTTGTGCGCGTATCCAACGATATGAAAATGGCTGCCGAAGAACATCGACAACAGAGCGCATTGCTTAACCTTCGACTAGACGATTTAACCTCGAAACTGAGCGCTTCTGAGAAGAATGCCAAGTTAGCAAAGCAAAAATTAGCCCGGCTTGAAAAGCGACGTCTCTCCTTGAAGGGCAAGGATGCCTCGTTAACTTTATCTAAGGTATGTGTGTGATATAAGGGCGGCATTATCTCCTTTTTAGATGTACTAAATAGTAATAGAACGATTACCAGTACCTAATTAAGTGACATCGAAATGTCTGTACGGCACGCGTGCTGGCAGGACATTTTCCATCGAAAGGCCAGTATTGCTGCTAATAGCCCTTGAGTTTATGGTACTCTGTTTATATAATAAGTTAGCTGGAGAAAACAAATCATTTTTTTAGGATATCGAAACGAAGCTTTCGAATCTAGAGGCCAAAATGCTCTTCCTTGAAGACATGTCTACCATGACAGACTCTCAGTCGGATGTATCGGAAGATCTTCGATCACACGCTACAACTTCGACGCCAGGGCTCGCTGGCAAACAGCCCGTAAACCGACGTTTTAGCACTGATTCACAGAACTCGGAAACTAATACCTCTGCTCATCGCATATATCACTTAGATCAAAAGGTAAATAGCATTCGATCGACTCATGCACTGCGTTTCTATAGAATATTAACTGAATGTTGGCGCACTTAGATAAGAATCTAAGACTGAAATTTGCTTGTTTCTTTAAATGAGTTGATTTGTCTGGAAATAAAACGTATTGTAATTTTATACAAAAAATATTGTTGTAGGTGAAAGCTGCAGTTGAAGCTGCTGGTGGTATGCCAATGAAGGCTAAGCTGTATCTTCAATCACGCACAGTGAAGGATCCTATCGGAATTGAGGAATGGCAAACGGGTCCTCTTGGAGCCCTAGGAACCGCCAGCCTATCAGCGTCTATGACGGACCTCACCGAACTCACGATGGATCCAGGCCTCGACCCATCGTGTAGCTCAATCAGCTCCATGTCACCGTATGAATGTCTTGAAATGCTTTCGCAGAGAGTAGACTCTTTATTATGCTGGTTCACGAGCTCGTTACAAGGTTTGCGACGGGCCGCTGAAGACGCACCTTGGTGTCGCCTCCTAGGCCAACTGCTGGAACTAATTGATCACTTGAGCTGTGCGTGTGATCGGGTACCCGGCTCACTGCAAGGCCGCGGAGCATCTGATAAGGCATCGCTCGGCCTCGCCTATAATTTGCTCCTATTGCAAGAAACGGCACGAGCTGTCCGAATGGTTAACGACACAGACCGCGACCTCAGGCACTCTCTTCACGGTTCTGCTCGACAAATGCATCGAGTACTCGCCTCTTTTAATGCAAGCCTCAGTCGGAACTGGTGAGTAAGACAAACTACATGAACCACAGTCAACTCTTTTAAACGGAACTGGCGAGGAAGTTGAGGGCGTCCGAATTCGAAGTTCTTTTGGACGCATACATTACTAGAACCTTGTATGCTAATTTTAGTTTTTCAAACAGCTTTACTGCAGACGCAATCTTTGAAGGTCTTCAGCAAGGACTTCGCGCAACTGAACAAGGCGGTTCAGCTTCTTTGGTTGAGGATTTCGTATCTGGCCCGATTGACCCCATTGCGGCCCTCGGAGACGCCGTGGCTCAGGTCAAAGCGCAATTCGACTGCGCTGCTTTCAAGGTGATACATCATTTTTAATGTTTTTCTTATACTTCAATTTATTCTTACATGTAAATAAATGCTAGAACTTGCAAACCAAAGCGTATCTTATCCCGGACCGACTTATCTGAACTACTTTTAGCGGAGTCATAATTTTTTAGGCTAAATCATGCTATATTCCTCCTATATTCTTACAACATACTTATATCTCAGGACGTTTCAGAAGTCTTTTATGCGACTTTCAGTAGAGCGGACTTGTAGGCGTAAAGTGATCTATCTATATGTGTAACATTTATCGATCAATAATCACTCGTGTTGTTGTGCTGATTAAGGTTGCTGATTATAAAAGAGGAAAGCGTTCAGCAATTCAAGAATCGCTGGCACGCCTGCTGGCCAATCATTCGCGTCGGGGTTATGAATTTGGATCCGTAGATATGGGTGACTACAACAACGGTTCTTGTCCAGAGGCCTGGGACGCGTGTGCTTGTGTTGCTCGTCAGGAAGCTCTACTTTCACGTGTTACAGAAGCAATCGCACGAGTGTCAACCTCTGTTGGTTTTTACCTGGACAAAAGCCTGGGTCATGGCTCGACGTTGCTCATTAACTTCGATAAAATGCCGGAACCAGGCCAAATGAAAGCACTTATAGCCGATGCGCTCCAAACCGATATTGATTTGCTCAACTATGAATTGCGCAAAGACTGCATTGAGGCAAGTAGAACAATAGAAAGGTATATATATATATATACCTTTTTTGGCTCTATATATATATATATATATATATATATATATGTAGAGCCAAAAAAAGGGTATATATATATATATATATATATATATATATATATATATATATATATATATACACCTTCTTTTTACAAACCGAAAAGTTGTAATAAGCAATTTTTTTACATCCGTCCATTAAAACTAAATTAAAATAACTGAGATAGATGATACTTTGATGGCGCAAGGTTCAAGTTAAAGTGCGGATGTGTTAGAACTTCCCATTGGAGTTCTCCTAATTTTCTCCGGGAAGCTAAAGATTTATGTGTTCTGCCATAACTATAGTGGAAGGCAACGCTTGCCCTTTTCATTAGTTCCGATCGGTTTTTTCAATGGCTTATTGTGATCTTGTTAGTTATTTACCGTAGGAGTCCGAACAAATCGCGTCAAGCAACAGTAGCTCATTATTATGTATCATTTTTTTCCAATCCCGTCACGACACATAGAGTTACCTTCTTTGGCGTTAGTCCGGGCTTTTCCATAAATAGTCTTGCTTCCTTTTGACCATGCTCTTATTCGGCTTTTACTATCGTATGTGATCACGCACAATTGGCCGTTTTAGAAATAATTCGATTTCGTTATGTTTCTGTAGGGGGCTTTCTGATGGAAAACTTTTGCGCCAGTCTGTGTGGTACTAAAGCATCAAGTTTATATTTGCACCCGGTATTTGTTAAATAATTTAAAACTTTTTGGTGGTAAATGTTTAGTTGCTTCACAGTGTCATAGGTACTCACGCGTCGGTTTTGTTTCAGCTTCCATAATGATTTCATCAACTTTTTGCAACTGGTTGATCATTGACAGGCATATTGTTCATTTTGAAATTTCTAGAACGAAAGCGGCAGAGCCATTTTTGGACCATCCCTTCCAATAAAGCATCTTTATTATAAGCACCGCAATTTTCTTAACGAATTTGGACAACATTTGTGCCTTTATCGTAGTAAATATGAAGAATTTTTGCAAGAATTTCACTCACCTTCAGAAAGCTATGTCTAAGGTCTGAGCAACGACATTACAATCTTAGCAGATCCACAGCCGCCAAATCTCAGCTTACGAGTGATACCAACACAAATTTGTGACCCAATGCAATTAGTATTCGAGATGTGTAACTTTAAAGCTATTTAATTAGGCAAACGTGTAAGTTTCAATCAAGTCTTCCGCAGCTTTAAGTACCAGCGTTATCATTTTCCCAATACAATCTATTAGACGACCTTACAATCTTCCGAACTAACTTTTTTATATTAGGTTCTAGACGTTAGTGTATTCGGCGATTCTGCGACGTCTAGATCTTCCGCAACAACAGGAGTTGGAGCCTTGGTTGACGATTCCGTAATGTCCGCTATGGAGACCGAAATCTTGCCAGAGGTCAACGAAGTGGTTACGCTTATTTGCGTCTTCGCTATCTTCAAGGTGAAGTTACTATTGGATGGTTATCCAGATTGCATGTCTAGCTTAAATATGTACACATAGCACGATGGTAATCAAACAAATAATAACATGGGGTACGTGTCCTGCAATACCGAAGCAATGCATTCAACCTTCAGCGAAATGCATTGCCTCTCGGGGCCTGAAACTAGCTTGTTATAGTTAAAACATTATATCTGAAACTCATAGCATCACAATATAAATTCTGCTAGTTCAGTTATGTATGTAAATGTTATAATTTTTTTGCTTACGCTTTGTTATCTTTAAGTAATTTGATAGGCAATGTTGATATACTTTCTTCTTATCGATCATATTGTAATTTCACCGTATAGGGTTACCTGGCCTACCTAGAGCAACAATCATTGTCGTCTTCATGCCTCGCCGAGACTTTCCGGCGAATCTCGTCACCGCCTATCGCTAATTCGGATCAGGTTCGTTCTAAACTAATTCACAACTTTCTCCTTAGCTATAAAGTTAATCTTGGCTACTTTGCTAATCGATTTAAATGTGAAGATAGCTAGAAATTTAGAAGCAAGCACTTTTTAAACAAAATCTAAATCTATACACATAAACGGATTAATTCAATTCTATTCTATATATTTTTCAAGCGAATAAGTCTTAATCCATATAAACTGTCTGCGTCACCCTAATATAATATTAATAAGACAATGTTTGATTGAACAACAGGCTAATACAACAGCCTTTCGGGGCTCAGGAAACTCCGCTACAAGTGGCAATTCCAGTTCAGCTCTAACAGCCGGTGGAGCCCCATCCATAGCATCGTCCGCTCAGGTACTCGAAAGCGTCCATTCTAAATTCTTCGAGATGCTTCTTATGCTTAACGGAACTAGCGACGTTCCACAAGCTGTAGAAAGGTAAGTACCATTGTTAACTATCATTTGATCGGCACCCCGGCATAATGATTTCATAATGCTTACTGTAGAGTAGTTGTCGAGGATTTGTTGAGTCAACTCTTGTAATCATAAGCTCTTGTAATCATAACTCTTGTAAGCACGATCATTGCAAGTGTAGCAGTGTATACACTATTGCAATATTTTAGTGGGCCGTTCCTAGTGGTATTGGGAACATGGCTAAACGATCTTTGGCAAACATCTTCTGCTATAGGTGGCTTGCCTGCGTTGTCAACTCTTCTCACGGGTCCTCTCCGGGCGAGCATATGTCTTCGAGCCTAACAGGCGGAGGTTCCTTTGGCCAAAATTCAGCCCAAGGAGCGAGCGCCGATGGTATTCATTCTTCAGGAAGCGCCTCGACCAGTGGAGCGCATCTTTCGTCGGCAACTGCAGTGGGCGGCGGTGACTGTGGGCTTATCATTCCGTCTCTTACAGCTACGGTCACGTCGGCGATTGGACGCGTACAAGCCAAATTAGCTAGGGAACAGGATGCCCAGAAAGACGCACTCAATTCTCTGAGGCAAAGGTACTTTAAAGTTTGACCAACTGTCGAAGTCCATTAACAAATCTCATATCATAGTCGAGAAGAGTCGTTTAAAAAAAAAAAAGGTGTAAACGATTATGCATGCACTTATGGTGCCTCTGGCTTTGTAGGTTGGAACAAGTTGAACGTGAACGAAGCGGGTGTGATAGAAGTATGGGCAGCTCAGGACTGACGGAATGCTCAGGCTGTGAGCGACTCAAAAGGCAGCTTGAAAATCTTACTCAACAATCGGACAGTGGCCGTTGCGAGAACTGCCACAGGCTTGAAAAACAGCTCCAGGTTAGTATCAACTAGTATGGTGTCTTCTGTCTCTGATTGATATTCTCTACCCCGCAAAGTGGCCTACATGATTCTAATAATACAATAATAAAAGAAATATATAACCTATTGCTGGAACACAGTTCAAATAGCACAGGTAGCGCCATCAGCGACAGAAGGACATTCTTACTATTAGCTATAGTTAACAGGTAAGTTAACGTCTGGCTTTGTCGTTTGCAGGAGCAAACCAGTTGTGCTGAGTGCCCGACATTATTGAGCCGCCTTGAAGAGTATGAAGCAGCGTTGTCGGCAGGATGTCCCGGTTGTGAACGACTCGAAAAAGAAATAGAAGCCATGGAGATGCACATGGCAGAACAGGACGACGCAGGAAAACGCAGCAAGCTCAACAGCGATCAGTATGTTCTGTCCTGCCTATCATTAACAGTCATAGTTTAAAAAGTGACACATGGATTGCTAACGAAGGCTTTGCCGATTTTCTTAGTTTAGCACGTAGACTTTTGTTTAATGCTGCTTTCAGGGCGTTCATTGTCTGATTTTCTTGGGTAGTTTTCCACAATAGTCCGCTGGTCAGTGAGCAAATCACAGATGTTTATCTTGTGCATGTTTTGTAATGGCACAGGTGTAACAGCTGCGAAGAACTACAACGAGCACTGGACGCCGCTCGAAATTCATACGATGCCCGAGTGGCTAACCTGCAAGCGGACCTAGAAAGTCGATTAAGAGAGCAGTTGCAAATTGGTGAGGAGATCCACATTCATAGGTTACCACGATGGCAAAACGAGCTCGAACAAGTCCGTCAGCTTTGTGACAAAGGTAAGTTTAGATAGATCAACGGTTAACAATCATTTGTTAAAGAACCGCAGAGGCCAAAGCATCAAACCTCACACGCCTTTAGGGATTTGACCTTATGACCTCCTGCTCAGCAATTCATATATCAATCATATATACATGTGCAGCCAATAGTTAGATAGGTAGTTAGTTAGGTTTCCATCAATGATTTCTCTTGCTGTTTTAACAAATTAAAAATAGGCCCAGTTGAAAATGGTCCAGAATCGTTCTTGAGCGAGCCTGACCACATGTGCACTTTTTATACATAATATCGGTTGAAGAATGGTTTACAGTCACGGATCTAGTTAGCGTCCATTCTAACGTGTTTGGGCTGCCTAAAAGTTTATATTATAATGCGCATAGCTTAGACATACAAAAAATTGCAAAACTATTTATCGGCGAAATGAGCACTATACGAACCGCATGCAGCAGCGATATGTGGACCACTGGCCACCACATAAAAAAATTCCCTCTGGATCAAATGAAGATGGTTCCATACTGTTTAACATATACTTTTCTTATACCTATCTACACCTTATCTGTATGTAGGTATTGGACTTTTGCAAGAATCCCACGCAGCAGAATTAGCACGATTATGTGAAAACTTTGAAACAAAACTGAAAGCTGAGCGCGCAGAAAAGGAACGTATTATTGCCGAGGAAACTCGTGCGACGCAGGTAAGACTAAGCGTGACTTTTTAGAAATTCGCGCGCTTATCTTATTCTATTCCGGCGTGTGCATTATATCTAAATGTATACTTCGACTTTTTTAGTCCGAACAAGCACTCGGTAGGCGTTGCTTTACTTAGAACCAGAAGCCTACTCGAAGTGGCCCTTGTTGGACTTATCTGGGGTACTCTTGCAGACCTGTAAAACGGCATGGTAACTATATCAGCAGCTATTAACCTGAAAAATGATTTCTTATTTTCCTTTATTCCTTCTTTTTTCTGAATATTGGTCTCAAGTAAGCATTTTGGCCGCCGCTAAGATTGAAACAGGCATGGACGATGCTTGTTAGCTGGTGGTTACCAAACAACGCACTCCAAAAGATTATCCTCAGTCTCTTAGATGACCCCACCCTCTGTGTAGATTAACCTACTGTAGAGGTAATCCCAAAGCCCTCAGTGAGGTCAACATCTTCTTATCACCTTCGGGTTTTTTAGGTGCAAAATTCTGTGTCCTAAGTGTAGAATTCTATCTATTGACACAACCATAAATTCAGAATGAAAATCACCTTGGGCGAATAATCGTTTTTAATAGTCGTAGAGCACCCCTTGGAGTGCATTTTGGTTTAATACTGTGATTTACTTCATTTTGACACCGGACGACTCTTTTGGAACGATCGGTTTTTACTACGATAACGATTCTTTCCCTCCGCCGTAAAAAAATTAATTCAGAATCATGGAACACTTTACGACTCTTAACAAGCAGTACGCTGTGAGAACACTGCAATATCCTGCGTTTTATTTTAGCTGTCCTTAAAGAAAGTTACTTAGGCTAACCCTAACTAGAATTATCATGCTCGGTTCATATCAAAACATAGGTGGCTCTCGAAGCTATTCAACGTCAACATAGATCACATATCGAAGAACTGAAGGCAAATATGAAACCTTCAGGGACGTCATGTATTACTCAAGACAAAGAAAAAGTAAACGCGTCAAATCAAGAAGCACGCGAGGTACATGCGCAGGGCACACCTGTTTCCAACGAAAGAGTATTGAACGAGATTCGGGAAGACATCGTGAATTTGTCGGAGAAATTTTCAAAGAAATGCGTTGAGGCTGCAGCTGTACAGGAACGATTATACACTACTCAAAAACAATTGCAAAAAGCCAATACACAGGTATAAGTTGATTGCTTACGTAACTTGTCACTACTCTAGATAACTGGATTTTATTGCGGCTATTGCTAGAAAAATAAAATACAAATATAATTCACGGTTGTGCTTAACTCGAAAGACGCTCGCCTATATAATATTCGTCGCTGATGAAAGGACGTGACTAATTGATTCCATATGTATACACCTCTTTTAATAACATTAAATATGTGTATGTGTTATGAGGGAAATCCATGAGACATTGAAGCGCTCCCAACGGGGCTATGGGCCTGTTTAATGAAAGGCAAGAAAACGTGTTATTGTGATATACGTGCTCCATCAACAATGTGAAAAGTTGGTCGATCAGCACTTTTCAATAATATATATATGTAACTTGTATCAACTATGGTTTCTTTCCAGTTGTTTGATCTGTTGGCCACAAGAGCTCGATCCGACACGCCATTGCGACATCCTACAAATGCCTCGCCAACGGGCTTACCAAGCTCCCTAAGTCAGACTGGGGCACAGCCCGCAACGTCGCCGTCCAAGGTACAACAACATTTGCAAACAGCCGAGGCTGGTCAGGGGGATAGTCCTAAACCTAAGGCATTGAGCCGTGCTAAAACGACCCTCGACCTTCCCTGGCAACCCAAGTACTAAGCACGCTATCCTCTAGAGCATTCATTATATGGCACCCACAGGTTTACTCGGCACGATGGGTTTTATTCGCCGGGTACAAGCTCTGACTAACGTAGATATTGGCAGGGATGCCTTTGTGTCATGCTCCTTATGGCTTCTTCTCGCTTTCATATCGCCATTATCATTGTTGGGGGCACGTGAAATGGCTTCGTTATAATATAGTGAGTTGTATAGATCGAACTGTCGTAGTCGCTTACATAACGAACGGAGAAGACAAACTATCATACACACCACACTGTTATTGCCACTATGCGTTAGGCTATGAGATGTAGGATAAACAGACAAGGAAAAAGAGTTTCAGAAAAAGCGTGCGGATTGTTCTCTCGGTCGACAAAGCTGTCTACTCGTAATTCGGCGACCTCCTTATTCAGCTCAACTGTCAGTCGTAACCTATCGTTCCGTATTGGAATACAGGGGGCGCATACCCTGACTACAGTCATGCGCAGGAGAGGTGAGCTACAAGCATTTCTATTGAAGGATTTCCCCAACATGTTGATCTGTGCCTAGATGTGCTAGTCTGTCCTTCCAAGTTACGGCGATGTGGCTCGCTTCGTAGGAGTTAAATTTATCCCGCTTGTCTGACCGGCTTACCCAAGGCTAAGCATCTAAATTGTGTATACTTGCACGCTGAATGTATGTGCTTGAGGTCCATTTTACAGTGTGGCCGATATTTGAGCATTTCGTTTTCGGACCATTGCAGCTTTCTATGAGCTTCTGCGGATCTGTAGTGGCATAGCGTCTGCGTTTCGGCCTATATTCTGAATTTCGAGTTTCTGCGCTTGTTCTGGGACACTGGTTCAATGAGAGGTAACATCTCGTTTGCACTTGTGTAATGTCAACAGGTTCGCGCGGCCAAACGTCTTCTGCGAGTCTTTGAAACGACAAAATAAAGCTTGATTTTTTACTTTGAAGCATACTTGTAATAACGATCCTATTAACGATTGAATATTAGACAAAATGGTGTTTAACAATAAAAATGCATGACTATATACTACACCTAACTAACATACAGATAAGCTTGGGAGAATATGGAAAATAGTCTCGGGTTTTCTTTTCGATGGCGACATCAGTAGTGACACTAAACAGGCTCGAAAACAAACTGTAATAGATTTCTTTCTATTTCGAATATATATATATATCGATATCGGTATTTGAAAATATATGCTTACTAATTCCATTTACCAAAGTTTTCTGTTTTTCTTTACGGAGCGATGAAAAACCAGATAGATTAACTCACGGTTTCAAATCATACAAATACACCAAGACACTAACTTCGTATGGCCGTCGTGTTCGGATGTCCACTCATTGCAGCATTCGCCATCGACACGACCTTGATGTAACTGTTGACAACAAACGCGGAACTTCGACTTAAACGCATAAATGCATGGTCAGGATGCTGCCAACTGCGAGAAATAGAAACGTTTGGCCTACGGCAAAACCATGGAGCGGCTGGCGTGTGTGCGCATGCGACTCTACCAATCATGTTGATATCTGACGTTAGCCATTTTATTTTCTACTGAAAATAATTTGATTTCCAGCGTTAGTGACCCTTACTGCGTGACTTAGCGGTTTTCATATGACTATGACTAACAAATATAAAGCAGTAAGCAATAAACAGGAGCAATGAATCGCGTGTTAGAAATGAAGAATGACAATGACAAGTAAGAAGATGCTATGTTATCATACAAAATTTACTTTTTCCAGTAATAGAGATAGATGTCAGTTATTACAATGGCAATGGAGCAAACAACAACAACAATAATTAAATTAATGAAAATATTAGGTGTTCCTTGTGTAGCGTCCATGGTCCACGTTCCATTATTGGTTCGTTATAACGCACACAAGGGAAAAATAGGACGCCTATATAACTCGCTGGTACGACACTTGCGCCGGCAGAGCGCCTTCGAAACGAACAGCGATGGAAAAACCTCAACGGACAAAGCACGAGGTGGCACCACGAGGTGGTTAGCCGTGACCATCTCACCATCCATTTGGTATCTATCACACTCGTGCTTTGTCCACATTGGCAGCGCAGGCAACAGAACTTTTGTTCCCTACCATTCACTAAGCTATTCGAGTAAAATATACCGCTGTTCTGTTTGTACGATGGTGTATACGGATTGTCCCTTCACCCACCCCGTAAACCGAGCGAAGATGGTAGATATAATAATACATCACCTTAATTGGGTACGTCTGTCATTTGCCTAACGGCTGTATCAAAGTCATTGTCCGCAGCTGGATTGGATATAGCTGAGACGTCTAAACCAGTGTGCATGAATGACCAGGATGTGCGGATAAAACAAAGTGCATCGTGCGTATGTGACAGTTGTGAATAATAATAGTAACAGCAATGATTATAACGATTGTTGTAATAAAATAGACTGTATCATTATCATGAAATGACTATAAATAAACAAACAAGTCGATTTGTATGTTAACGCGATCTATTTAATTTCATCTTAGCTTAACTTTTTTTTTTCCCTCTTGAATCTATAGAGATGTTTCGATTAATATGAAGCTTACCGAAGCGATGACTCGTCGCTTTTTAGGAAATGAAACACTTTTTTCAGTCATAGATAGTAGGGCCAGTGTGGAAAACTGAAGTAAACAAACATTGATTACGAAAACATTTTTTTGGGTAACCATCATTATTTCGAATTGCTTCACTAATCCGCTTCGCAGTTTTTGAAATTGTCGGCGGTGCCATTCAGAAGATATCGCGCTAGTTCGTGATAGAGATTAATCATCGATTACCGATAATCAGGGCTGCACTCGCTATTCTATCTTAATACATTTCCGTTCAGGTATATGAGCAGGGAGGTTCTATTTGTATAGGTTCCTACTGTGCACGTTTGACAAAATGTCCGCGTTCTCTTAATTAATAGCACGTGCTACGTTCATATTTCTCAGCCTAGCAACATGCATATGGTTTATTAGAATGCACCAAGTGTAGACTTCGAATATGAACAAGCGAATGTAACTCGAAGAATATCATTCGAACGATTCGTAAATCAGGGCACTCTTTTTTCCCTCGTATAGCCTTAAATTGAAGTTAAGGATTGAGTTTCAGGTTAAGTCTTAGTTGTGGGAGAAACATGCGATATAACGTTTGAAACCTACATTCGTTCAGCCAAACGTCTATGCCATGTTTATTCGACACGAAAATACCACATGTGGGAGGGCCCTATTTTGTTTCTAATTTCTGATATAATTATTTTTACTGGTGAACTTATCTGTATTGTTGTTTACAACTGGCACAACGTTTTAGACTGCGATTGATTTCATAAAATAGTTGTATCCTATCCAAATTCATTTAGAACCTGCTCATCAAAACAATAAATCAAGGATCACTGTTACAGGTCCTGCCATCCAGTATTAGCTTCACTGCTGAGAGAATACCTGTTGTCAATGGCTTGCTCATTTATCTGACAGTTATTGCATATTTGTACTATCTAAAAATCTTAGAAACTTTCCCTGGATGTGCGATAGTATTTTAAAACAGTCTTACGAACTTTCAGAAGCGCTTCCCAAAGGCGTTTTCACAGGTAAAGATTGACAAGTCAAAATAGTGCCTCATCTATTTTTACCGACCTGGAGGTTGAAGGCCCGGTTTCTGGCTACGCGGTCGAGTCATTTTGGAAGAAAGGATCCATATATTACTACGGGTTCAGTTCTGTAACTATACTAGATTTTATTTACGAAGCAGTTCATATACCCGCTAATATAAGCATGACTATACCCAACTGGATTATTTTCAATTCATGTTTTGAACAATCCTTTCCTTTTAATGTTCCGTGCTGGAGCATGTTTCCACACGACTGTGTCAGTTATTTTTTGTAAATTTAAAAACTATCCTTATCTACTGAAATACCATCCCAAATTCTTGGTATATTCCATTTTCGTTAGTTACTCCCGCAGCAATCGCTCCCTGCTTCCGACCGTTTACCAAAGCTACTCTGATCCGACAAGTATTGTTAGAACCCATAATAACAACAGCGTGAAATGATTGGACTTAGCGCAGCGTGTAAGTTGGCCCACCAACATCCGACATCAACCGAACGAACCGTCACGTGAGTGATATACCATCATCCAGTCGTCAAATTGGTAGCAACAACAAACAACAGCGAACAGTCAACCTACATCTCCCCATAGATTTTTAGTAAATAGGAAAGTAAATAATGGCCGCCGCCGCCGCCGAACAAATGTTTCAAGTTTAAAGTTCGGTACTTGCCGTTAAGAATGTTTTCAGGCAGCTAGCTTCCACCACGGAGCGAAACGTGTCTATGCTTGCTTTCGAATCTAGGCCACCTTAAATAACTCTAAAATGAATCATCAGAGCCGTGTGTCAATGTGCGGTTACGAAACTTCCTTCTTCCCCGTAGCGATCATCTGTCGTGAGTGCAGCGCTATCGTGTGTTGACTGTTTTGAAACATTTAATGCTCCATAGGCCATAGGCCAACCGTTAAAGGGCTTGACGTGCTTGCTATTGAGGTTTGGTAAGAACCTGAAAGTCAATTGGTAGAAGGCAACCAGAGGAAAAGCAGCCATAGCAAACTAGTTCTGTGTAATAATACGCACTGTGTAATTTCGAAATTCTAATCCCATCGTAAGGGTTGGCGTAAAACGTTTGCGGCGGTTTTTTTTATTATTGTCTACCTAAAATAAAAAGGTCATCCTCATGGAATGTGTGTAGCTTTTACCTACCAAGCCGGTTTTCGTTGTCCGTATTAACGTATATATACTCTTGGTGGATTTAGGTACTTAAAGAATACTTACGCAGCCCACAAGGTGGTTGCATACAATACGACATGGGTATTAAACACAAACTGAATTTTAATGCCTGTGTAATAGCGATTTTAAACAACCGTTATGTATAACGTTTATAAGTTATTATTAACTTAACGTTATAAGTGTATTAGGTGGATGACAAGTGAGTTTTTGTGTCAACGACTAATTCTATGATTTCAATGAAGGCAAACAGGATTCATTAACTAACTAGCAAAGTCTACTTGTAGGTTGCGGTCACAGAGTTCCTCAGTTCTAATTTGAACTATGTCGAGCAAGCGTGAGCTGATACTGCTGCTGCAGTCTGTTTCTGAGCGTATACGTCTAATTGACGGGACACCCACGCTTCCAATTAACGCTTAGCGTCGCCTCCAATATAAGTTTATCGGGTTTATTACCACCGCTATTTATACATATGCTAATTCGACTAACGATCACTACAATTTATGCTAAATAGTGCTCCCATAATATTTGATACTGAATCTATTAGATACTAAGATTTGGGATTTATATATAACCTAAACCTTAAAGTTTCTCCTCCAGGCACCGAAAAAGCGTGTTCGAAACAACGGCAAACTTGGACAGAATGACGCAGAATGTCCATAGGCACTACATATATATATATATATATATGTATATATAATATACTCTATTGCCAATACTGTATCAACAACCCGCTACGATGGCCTTAACGAGCGCGTTGTCCTTGAACTTGTTGGTGTCCCTCTTTCACTGGCCTTCGCCTTCTACAACCAAACAGTCAAAAATACGCAGAAGATCGCTACGAGCGGCCTCAATCAATTGTATTTTCATGTCGCTTATGTCGCAAACTTCTGAACGGACGTGAATATGCTGATTCGTTATAGAAGATCAGAAATACACGATATACAAGAAATCTTGCAGAGAATGCTACTGGCAATTTACGTGGTGCTTTAACCAGCTGACTGATCTATACGAAATGGGCACTCTTTGTACCTACAAAAGCGTCCATTGCAAGGACGTTGTGCTTTATTATTGCTGCACTGTACGGAGACCCAGGAAAAACGGTTTTTAAAATCCCTATTCGTGTTGAATCTTTGTTGTTGCAATTGATTCCAGCGTTTTTTTTGAGTGTCAATTTTAAATCATTCATTTTGGACATGACAATATTGTACTATACAACGTCGCGTAGTGTCATACATCATTTATTCGTCAATCACCCCAGTGATCTTGACTTTTAAACAACTTTGTTGTAAGTGGAAGTTTTATCCTGAAACTTAGCTAAAGGAAGCTTGTTTGAGTGCTAATAACTTTTTTTGTATGAGGAAACTCTGTTCTGAGACTTGGCCAATGGGGGACTTATTTGAGTTTTACCAACTTCTTTGTATGTGCTAATGTTGTCCTAAAACATGGCCAGAAAAAAAACGGTTGTTTTAACCACTTCTTTGTATCTTCCTGAAACTTAGCTAGGGAACACTTGTCTAAGTTTTAACAACTTTTCTGTGTGAGGGAGCTCCATCCTGAGACTTCTTTGAGCTTTAGCAAATATATTGCTTGTAAGATTCTGTTTTGAAATATTGCCAAAAAGATTTCCTTGACTTTCAACAATTTTGCTGTAGGCGGAAGTTTTGTTCTGAAACTTAGATAAAGGAAGCTTGTTTGAGTGTTAACAACTTTTTTGTATGAGAAAACTCTGTTCTGAGACTTGGCCAATGGGGGACTTATTTGAGTTTTACCAACTTCTTTGTATGTGGAATTGTTGTCCTAAAACATGGGCAGAAAAAACGTTTGTTTTAACCACTTCTTTGTATTTTCCTGAAACTTAGCTAGAGAATACTTGTTTAAGTTTTAACAGCTTTTCTGTGTGAGGAAACTCTATTTTGAGACTTGACCAACGAAAACTTGGGTTTTAGCAAATATATTACGTTAAGATTCTGTTTTGAAGTATGGCCAAAACGATTTCCTTGACTTTTAACAATTTTGTTGTAAGCAGAAATTTTGTCTGAAACTTGGCTAAAGGAAACTTGTTTGAGTGTTAACAACTTTTGTTTGTATGAGGAAACTCTGTCCTGAAACTTGGCCAATGGGGGACTTATTTAAGTTTTAACTTCTCTATATGTGGAAATGTTGTCCTAAAACATGGCCAAAAAAAACGTTTGTTTTAACCACTTCTTTGTATCTTCCTGAAACTTAGCTAGAGAACATCTGTTTAAGTTTTAACAACTTTTCTGTGTGAGGGAACTCTATCCTGAGACTTGGCCAACGAGAACTTCTTTGAGTTTTAACAAATATATTGCATGTAAGATTCTGTTTTGAAATATGACCAAAAAGGTTTGCCTGACTTTTAACAGTTTTGTTGTATGCGGAAATTTTGTCTGAAACTTGGCTAAAGGAAGCTTGCTTGACTGTTAACAACTATTGTTTGAATGAGGAAACTCTGTCCTGAGACTTGGCCAATGGGGGACTTATTTAAGTTTTAACTTCTTTGTATGTGGAAATGTTGTCCTAAAAGATAGCTAAAAAAAAACGTTTGTTTTAACCACTTCTTTGTATCTTCCTGAACCTTAGCTAGAGAACA